GGCAGCCCGGGGCGGCGCCGCCCGCCCGGGCCGCCGCGCACCTGCGAGAACTGGATCCCCGAGGTGACGCTCGCCGTTTGCCGTCCTGGAGCAGAGAATCGCGCGCGGTCGGGAAAAATGGAGACGGTCTTGACAATTTAGCGGATCCCATTTCTGAAACGGACACGAAATGCTTTGGATCTTGTAGGTCGGGCAAATAAAAGAAAATGAAACAAGGGTTCAGAGGACAGACCCACTTTTTTCAGCGCTGGCGACAACAACTTCCCCAAAAATGCGATGACGACGATAATGCAGACAAAAATGTTGCGTCCTTTCTGCACAACTTTGGATGGGAGAGCTTTTTTTTTTTCTTTTAACATTCCTAACAAGGTCCTACAAGGCCAAGTTCACAACAGGGTGTTTGAGCAAACAAAGAAACAACAACAAAAGCACTTTGCATTTCTTATTTCTGTGCGCGTCCATCAAAGCGCGGCTTTGATCTCACCTCGTCTCACGTTACCGGGTGAGGGTAGCTGATTATGAAATCGACTTGTTTGTTTGTCATTTCGCACCGGAATTACCGGTAGACGACTGATCCGTATTATTTTGTGTTTTTTCCAAGTTCACAACAGGGTGTTTGAGCAAACAAAGAACCAACAACAAAAGCACCTTGCATGTCTTCTTTCTGTGCGCGTCCATCCAAACGCAGCTTTTATCTCACCTCGTCTCACGTTACCGGATGAGGGGAGCTTATCATGAAATCGACTTGTTTGTTTGTTTGTCATTTCGCAAAGAATTACCGGTAGACGACTGATCCGTTTTTTTTCATTCTCCAGATGAGGAACCGGTGCTGACGAAATCTGCCAAGGCATCCGTGGCAATGATGTGTATCTCCCTGGTGCTCGTCTTCCTCTTGTGCTTTAGCTTTTCCTGGAGGCGCAGAGATGGTGAGCGAGGCCTTCATTCTACAGACAGATCGATAGACCGCGTTAGGCACGTCGATGATTTTCCCAGATGAACCCTTTCATGCGCCCCGCGACCTGACAACATGCTAAAAGGTGTCCACTGGAGTGACCGCTGTCCCTGAAAGGGTTCATCAATCAATCCTATTTTGAAAAACCCCTTTTCATTCCCTATACGCTTATTCAAAAATGTGCCATTGGCGTAAATTATCCTTCGGTTACCGGTTTGGTCCATAACATGTCAGAAAAGAGGCGAGGATGTTGATCGTTGGTTTCCAAAGATTTTTTTTTTTTTTTTTTACTTTTCATCAACAAAAAGATTTGTTGTGTTTTGAATGACGTACGTCCCATTTCCATTTTGTCTGCCGTCAATCAGAGAAGCAAAAGTCTTTGGCGGTGTCGGGAATCATCCTCCCCCCTCGCATCGTTGTGGGTCAAAAGGGCAGGGTGAGCGTGAGCATCGGAGGAAGGCGGGTGGACCGGGTCCAGACGGCGTGGTTCCTCAATGACGCGCCCATCTCCGACACCTCCCTCACAGGTAGCAAAGTCAGGCCACGTTTGTGTTGAGTGAATACGCGACGGCGTTCGGATCAATCAGCAACACAGCCCCAAATTCTTTGCTTTGCGTTTCCCGCTCACTTTTTGGTCTTTCCGCCGCTTCTTTCGAATTTTCTGCCTGCGACGACGACTGGAACGTTTGGCAACAAATGATGAAACTCACCTCGGCTATTCCGCCACCTTTCTTCAAAAGTTCGACGTGATCGCCGCACCTGTTTGGAACGTTTTGTGCGATGCCACGCGGTCACCAATTTTGGAACTCGATCACGCTGCGCTATTTGCTGTCCGCGTCTTTCGCTTTACTTTTGCTGATTGTTTGGCCGCTGCCACGTCGGCATTGCAAATGAGAATCTGGGCTCAATCGGGTTTACCTGGATTAAAAAAAAAACAAAAAGGCAGCCCCTCCTGCTCTGGGAAATGGAGAGGACCGCTGTTTTTGTCTGGCTCGGCATCACTGACTGACCTGCTCTTCGCTCTCTTGCCATTCCCCTCACATTGTCCCACTGGAGGCACCTCCAGAGCGACCTCCACGCGCCTCTCCAACCGACTAACCGGCACCCATCTGCCCTCCGGCCTCCCTCTCCCCCCGCCAGCTCCGGAGAAAGGCCCTTTGCTGCCCTCCAGAGGAGAGACGTGTTACTACAAGCTGCATTCGCAGGGCCCCCTGCACTCGACGGGGAGCGGCGTCCAGCACCTGGTCTCGTCGCTGACGTTCATCCCGCAGATCTCCGTCCACAAGGGGGCGGTGTTCAAGTGTCAGGTGTCCTACGCGGGCAAGGACAAGATTGTGATGGAGAGAGTCTCCGAGAGGTTCACGGTTCTTTGTAAGGACTTTGGATTCATCGGCTTGTGAATGCTGAGAGATGCGCTTGTCTGGGGGTTTTTTTTCCCCCTTCCATGTCACCTTCAGCGTTCCGGGGGTATATGCTATACATATGCACAAAGTGGCTTTTTTTTTGCTTTCAGCTGCACCAGAGGTTTCTGAAATTCAGCTGGCAGAAACACCGAACAACTCAGGTGAGGCAGACCTTGAACAAAATGTGTTCATGCCGGTCAGGCCGGCGTCATTTTCAAATCTGGGCTCACACGCTGCTGCAACACGCTCAATGCAAACGATCAGCTCATCGGCCAGCACTGCTCGACCCGGAGCACCATCCTGCTCTTTCGAATTGGCAGGGACGACATTTACACCGAGCTTTGCATGTACAGCCTGGTCCATTGAGCAGTTCAAAAAAAAAATCCAAAATAAATGTGGCCCTCAAGTCCAAAAGGTTGCCCGCCACTGCTTTAGATGTCCTTAATAATCCTAAAAAATAGAGATCGATATGATAGCTTTTAAAAAGAAGGATCCTCAAAATGTTTGACTGTCGCCACCGCGTCTGTAAAAAATGTTCCCCAAGGTCGCTCGTGAAAGGGCCCTCGCTTCTTTTGCAGAGGTCATCAGCATGACGGTGCGAGCGTCCCATTTCCACCCGGACGTCATCACTTTCCGCTGGTTCTGTCAAGGGGGGGAGCTGAGCCCGGTGGCTTCGCAGGCCTCCACCTGCCCGCGACCCGATTGCGAGGGCTTTTTTTCGGCCTCCAGTCAGTGCAAACTGCCCCGGACGGAATTGGAACAGGGAGGCACCAGAGTGTGGGTCAGCGTCCATCACGTCGCCCTCAAGCAGCCCGTCACTCGAGAGACCAGAGGTCAGAGGGAATACGCGCGCGCTTCGAGTTACCGCGGCAGAAATTTCAAGCCGATTGATGACTTGAGTCCAGCGAGTCGCAAGTCACGTGACTCGTCGCCCACCGCTTTTGTCCCCCCCCCCCGCAGGCTTCATCAAGCAGCCCCGCGTGTCCGACATCTCCTGCTCGGCCGACCAGTTGCTGACGCTTGGCTGCCAGATCAGCGATTTCTACCCGCCCGACGTGACGGTCACTTGGCTGAGGGTGAGAGGGGGCGAGCGGGACGACAGCGAGGACGAGGTGATGGAGGGCGGCCGGCTGTGGGGCCCCGTGGAGATTCGCCCCAGACTCTACCGGGCCACGGCCACGTTGACCACCGCCGACGGCCCCGAGAAAAGACGGCGGGGGGGAGGGATCAAATGCCGAGTGCAGCACCTGTCCCTGCAAGAACCCATTGAGAGACTTTGGAGAAATGTTGACATCGGTAAGAATGAATCGCCGGCCGGCTCTTTACGTTTCCTCTCGACCTTTTCTTTATTCAAGGACGGCCTGCCACATTGCGATTGCCAACAATTGCTGAACGCGGTATGCGAGGTGTCGACAATTGAAAAAAAAAAAAACGGCAGCATCCGGTGCACCTCGTGCAGACTCATCATCCGTCCCGGCCACTTTGCGCCAAGACGACGATGGCAAACCTTTTTCGTGGACTTTTTGGCATTTTGTGCAGTTGCTCCCGACATCCCCGCCTCCATTTCGGTGTGTTGGAGCAGCGAAGGAGTGGGCGTGTTCTCGCTCCTGTTGAAGGGGGGTCACCCCAAGGTCAAGTTACTGTGGACGGCGGGCGGGGCCACCCTCTCGCCGCTCCAGTCCAGTGAGACGGAGGAGATCGGAGATGACGGCCAGAGGGAGCTGAAAAGCGTGTGCGCCCTCGAGAGGTCCGCGCAAGCGCCCGGGCGGAGCCGCGAACGGAGGAAGGCGCGCCCAACAAGTAACGGCGCATCCGTCCGCCGACCCCGTTGCGCCGCGCGCCGCCGTCCGCTCTTATCTCGACGTTTCCCTTCCAGAAACCAAAGCGGCCGTCACGTACACGGACACCGAAGGGATCGCGTACATCGACGAGAAAACGGACGAAGAGAACAACAACCGAGAGAAATGCGAGGAAAGCAAGTCGTCGGATGGGGATGAGGGCAGCGACGACGACGACGACGAACGAGAGGACGACTCCGGGGCCTTGTACATCAACAGAGTTCATTTGACGACGGGGAGCAGGGAAAGCGAGAGAGCTCGCCTCAGAGTCCTCGTGGAGCTCACGCACCCGGCACTCGCACTGCCTGTTTACAGAAGCTGGACAGGTAAGACAACACCGGCGGGCCCACCGTTTGCTGTCGATAAGAGTTTGGTGCATGTGTGGGGGTGGTTTGTTTTTTTTTGTGTGTGCTCGATTCAGAAAAGTCGCATGTCACGCGAAGAGATGTATTCTTATTTTGGTCACTTCATCCTGCCTTTCAGAGCCCAACGAGGAGACGTCTTTCATGTGAAATTCAAGACGCTGACAAGAAGCATCATCCACTTCCAAGATTTTGGCCACTTTTTGGAAAGCGAGAAACGCTGAGCGTCATCGTTTTTGGATTGCTCATTGAGAAAGGTGTTGCCTTCCGACACTTTGGGGCTTTATTTATTCGGATGTTTCTTTCAGCTGCTTGGTCGTTCGCAAATGGCTTGGATTTTTGTACTTTTCCATCAAATCCCATCACGTGATTGACGATCAAATTCATCAAATAAAATATGTCTGCTTTCGGTTTGGGGCCGGATGAAGTCTCTCCGACTGTTTTCTGTGGCGGTTTTGAAAAAGTGGAAATAAGTCGCCCTGCGAAAATGATGTCGGCCGACGAGCCCTTCCCCATATGTCAAATTCGACTTCTCTCTTTGTATTTGTTGATGTCATTCGAACGCAGCAGAGCGGCGCGGTCCTTTCGCAGCGGTCGAAAGACAGGATGTTGGTTGAAGTTCCTCTTGCCCAAAGGTCGGCCGGCTGCGCAACGCACTGCCAAGTGTTACAAGGATGCGGTCACGCTATCGGCGTTCTCTCCAAACAAACTCAAACTATTTTCGATACACTTTTTTGAAAAATACATTTTATCACGAGGTTAAATAGATACATTAAAATGTGGACATATATGCACACATTGGGTCAGAATGACCAAGCTCATTTTTTCAAATTCACATTTCCATACACTCGGTTTCCATCAATTTGATGACCGCCATAAAATCGTCTTGGAAGACTGCACGTGGCCAGGCGAGCTTGGATTTGGAAACTTTGCCAAACTATTGCCAGTGATCATAATTGGTCTTTGCATTCATTCGGAATCTTTCATTTCGATGGGAAAAGGTTGATTCTTGAATAAAAGACTTGTGATGGACAATCAAGAAAAAATCCGTCGAAATGTTTTTTCTCCCTCTCAGCTGCGCTTAATCACGCTCCTCATTGACCGGAAGGCTTTGTTTGCATTATGAGGAACCCAGCCCGCGCCGAGGAGAACAAACTTTTTGTCGCCGTTTGATGCCGATGCCGACCTTTGGCCACCCCGGAGAACATTTGTGCTTGCGTTACGACTCGTTAAAACGAGCAAGAAAGTTTCATTCGCTGGAAAAGTGTCGTTTTCGCCGATGGATCCAGCCAGAGTCGCGGGGACGCTGTGGGATGTTTTGGTGAGCGGCCGCGATGCACTCGCGTGTGTTTGTTCGCATTTGGATTCCCGCTGCGGGGGTCACTTGAAAGGATGGAAGCGACGCGTGGTTTTTATGGTCCGAAGTTTTTATTCTCTTTTGACTGCAACATGAACACACAGGAAGAGCAAGAAAACGATCACAAAACAAAACAAAACAAAAAAAACATTGTTTTTTATTTTATTTACTTTTTAGCATTTATCTACATAAAAAATAAGGGTTAGGGTAAGCAGAAATTTTTACATGCGTACACACTTTTTTTTTTACCTTCATGCTATTTGCGTGAAAAGTCACTTCACCATCAAGTCAGCCGTTTTCTTTTCCGCATCCCGACCGAATGTAACTTCCGCCGCCGCAGGAAGTTTCAAAGTAAGACGCTGAAAAGAAGAAACGCGGCGAATAATAATAATGCCATTGTCTGTTCCGCTTACTAAGACAAATCTTTACTTTGGTGTGCTCATTGTCGCCTCTCTTTCCATCTTGACGTCCGCGCTCGCACCGTGCGCGCCTCTCAGATGTGCGTCACAGGGATTGGCGCAGGTGCTGACCTTTTTTTTTTTTTTTTCTTCCCCTTTTCCGTATTTGTCACATCATCGCTGCTTATTTAACGGATTTAAACGCAAATGTCCAATATATGCGGCAAACACGTGTCGGTTCTGAAATACGGGACCGTTTCCACCAGACCGAAGGTGAGATTTCACAGTGAAGCCACGATGACCTCGTGACGTCACTGTACGGCCTTCGCACATACAAAACACCCGTTTCGATTATTGCTCCTTCACGGACACGAGGTGGCGTATTTTCATGCTATTCGTGGGATTGCGCTGTTTTTTTTTTCCTTCTCGTGGTGTGCGGTTCTGACATGAAAAAGATCATATGTTGTGTAGGCAATTGAAACACTGCGAGGAATTGACATGCCCTTTCATGTTTCATTGTACAAATATGGCACAAGCTATGATCATAAAATGTTTTACTATATTTAAAACTTTTCTTCCATTACCCTTGTCCAAGAAATGGCTTTGTTCAAATTATTTTAATTTTTGTATGACTACCATTCTGTCAACAACGCAGGCTAAAATTAACTTCTTCCGGCCTCTTCATGCAAACATCTTAATCACTTAGTCGAGATGGATCATTCATTTTGAAAGGTAAGTCACGTGAACGTATTTGGGCATCGTGTTGGGGCTTATTTACGCGTTCAAAATGAATTCAAGGTCAATTGTCTAGTCTTAACTGAAGTTGGAATTGAGTTCTCTGCAGAGTATTGGTGATCTTGCTTTTCAAACTAAGATTTTTGTCCCAGTAGATTTGGACTTTGTGCAACTTGTTCCCGATAGAAAAAAAAAAGAAAGTCTGAAATGAACCAAATAATGACTTTGTTTTATCTGTGTGCCTGCTTGTCAGTACTATTTAGCCGCAGCGGTCAACAGATTCCTCAGGCCGGGACCTTTTAACATCACCAGTCATGATCTGCTCCAAGAATCCACGGCTGAAAGTGGTTCTGGTGGCGACGGTCACATCGCGGGCGTCTGTCAGGAACAATCTGACGAGGCGGCGCTTGAGCCGAGTGCACCGCTACCCGCTTGGGCCGGTGAACAACCCCAAAACGCTGCAAACAAAGCACCTGAGGAGAGTGATTCTGCTGAAGATTCTGCGGCAACCTTCCGCAGTGTCACTGCGGTGACTGGCGAACAAGTTGGGGCAGACGAAGACGGCTACGAGGAAGAAGCGGAGGCCG